CGTGCCTCCTCCTTTGCCTCCTCTGATGCCTCCTGCGGCTGGGATTCATCCGGATTTGCTGGTGCCGGTGAGTGCTCCTTACTCGCAGTACATTGTTGAGGACCTTCTCGCTTAGCCAGGCAGAGAAGGTTTACCAGTCATAGATCCCGACCGACCGGACAGAACTTTGTGGTACGTAACATCTTCTTAAATTTTTTTATAAATTATTTTCTAAAACTAATAAATAATTCGTACTTTAAATTTGGTTTTTCAGATTTGGGGTTGACGGATGTCTTTCTCGGAGCGTAACCGAGATGATCAAAGGTTACTTTCCCGGTCCACATCCGAACTGGAAACGACGCAGCTCTACGTCAAAAAGACGTGGTTCAAAATGTTTGATCTAAATTACTTTTAATTATATATACTTTAATTTTTTTATGATTTGAATTTCTTAAAACTAATTCTTAATTCAAATTTTTTTCTGTTACAGCAAAAATACCATTGGTCCATAGAGGTCAATGAGAGGGTGAAGAACCAGTTCAACTCGAAGGCGCAAAAGCGCTTGTTGGACACAGTTTGCTACTGGAAGGTGATTGGATTGTGAAGGGGTATGAGCGTGGCAAATCCACTGCAATCACCACGGAGGTGTGGGATTGCCTCATCCGTTATTGGCGAGATCCTGACGCCATGAAAGTCGCCGAATCTTGCTCTAGCTCCCGTTTGAAGGTAGATGAGGACGGCAACGGCCCGATGCTTCACTCTTCGGGTCAAACACCCCATGCCGGTGTCCGTCTGAAGATGATAATTAAATTTCTAATTTAATTATTATATATATATATATATATATATATATATATTTCTAACTTTCTTAAATGTTTTTTAGGCCAAAGAAACAAGAGTTTTCCCTTCTCTTTTGGATCTTTATGAGAGGATCCAAAGAAACAAGGCGGGCCAATTTCTAGATGCTAGGTCCGAGCATCTCTTTAACGACTTAGTTGGTCAGGTTGAAGAGCGCCAGACTTAGCTGATACAGCAGTCCACTGATGGATCACCTGTCACCTTATCCACACTTGAAGTGCATAGGATTTACGAAGAGGTAATTTTTTTTAATTTTTTTTAAATATTCCTTTAATTTTTAATTTAAAATTTTCACTAACAATATATTTTTTTTAAGGCTGTCCCCATGAAAAAAGGACGTACGTTGGGAGTCGGTTCCGTTAACGATGTTCCAATAGCGACATCGTCTTATGGTCAGACTCGATCCAACGTGCGTTCACAGCTCGTATGGGTGGACTCGAGAGCTTCTTGGACGTTATAGCAGCCACAAATTCGGAATGGGAGTCCTAGTTGAGGAAAATGTGACAGCAAAATCCCATTCCAGGCGAGTCATCCAGCACACATGACGAGGAGTATCTAGAGAGGAGGAGTCAGAAATTCTACTGGCAGGCGATGAACGACTCTTAGTTTTTTTTTTCTTTTCGTTGGATGTATAATTTAAAACTTATTAATGTATAAAATATTTTCCTATTAATTTTTATTTTAAATTATATTTTTATTAATATTTTAAATTATTTTTCTATTTATTTTTATTTCTGGAAAAAAATTGAAGTAAATTTGTTGCTAAATTACAACTACTTTACGTGGAAACATTGCGACGAAGTAACGGGAATAATTTTACGTCAAAATTATGAGTAACCATTAACGAGTATTTTACATGGAATACTTTACGTGCAATTTACGACGAATAGATTACGTGGTTTTTACGACGAAAGATTACGTGGATTTTACGACGAAAGATTACGTGGATTTTACGACGAATTCTGTACGTCCTTTTTACGACGAAATTATTTCCTTGCTAGTTTACGATGAATTGGAGAGGAAACTTACGTTACAACGGACGATTAACGATGAAACATGTTTCTTCACTAATTCGTTGTGAAGCCTCATTTAGAACGAATTTACTACGAATTTCGCTGTCGTTAATCTTGTGTTTTCTTGTAGTGTACCATACAATCATACCTTTAATTAAAAAAATTCCACTCACCACTTGCGAACATTATGTTGGAAATGTTCAAGACTTGGAACGTGATGGGTTTGTTTTATTAGTTTATTTTGTGCTATAGTTTATTAGTGATTTGTAGGTGTCTCATCACTATAATCATTATAAAAATGATGAAATGTCAAACTAAAAAAAATATGACATGGATGCTTGTTAATTATGATAAACATATAAGGTAATAAGTATATAGTCCTTACTAGTAGCGGATGTACATACGTTAAGACGCTTTCCCCCATCTTATATATCAATACTATTAAAAGAGAAGGAGTCCTAAAAAATCTACTTATACAAGTTGTTTGGACTCTTTCATTAGACTAATATTTTTTGGTCTTCCCTTATATTTATCTAACTATATAAATACTATTTCTATAACTATATAAATACTTTATAATTTAAATGAACTCATTTATTACTTTCCATAATCTACTATATAATTACTCT